GAGTGCAACTCAAAATAGCCACAACGCAATGTAGGGAGCAGGATCTAACTCACAAACAGTCACCAGGACTTTTATAGTTGTAACCCTACACTTTTACTGACCCAGGGTCTCTCCTCCCCCAAAAGGAGTGAGTGAGGGAAGAGGGGATTCGTATCAAACCAGCTCACAGTTCACAGTTTGAAAAATGAATGACTAGTTTTTGCTGATACGATTCCATTTTTCCTTGGGTAACCGACAGCCATACACACGGTAAATACCACCCCCGCGTTCTGCCCATTCTTTTTCGGGAATTCCCCCTTCGACATGTGACCCCCCTGAAAGTGACTGATACATGGCGCACTCCGCATGAGTAATTACCCGTGCTCATTATTTTCCATCTTTCAATCCATCAAAGATAAATTATGCAAAGACTCACGAAGGCTGGATTGGGAATCAGCTCGAAGCTGCCGAAGAGCACCGTACTAATGGATATGAGGAGGACGGCGTCTTGCATGAATATGTCAGGTTCTACTTCCTTCCTGGCATTCAAGGTAGCCTGAAAAAGATTAGCTGTAAAGTTCGGAATAGTTTGAACTCAAACGGAGAATAAGTGGATCAGGATTAGCTGCAAAGTTCAGCTTATTCTGAACAAAAACGGACGATGAGTTTATCATTTGAATCGGTCAGTTTGAAATGTTACGTGCAAGCCTACAGCTCAGCAGAAGCCGTTCAAGAGCATGGATGGCTTCCCCCGAGATGGCCAAGTGAACAGGGCCAGTCCGAAATTCTGTCCATACCTCGTCAACCTCGTGAGGGTCATATTCTGTTTGGGTGGTAGAGGGTGATAATCGGTGAAGATGTAGAGGAATCCCATTGAAGAGTAACATGGTGAATGTTATGAAATTCCAGTCATTTTTTCATGCTCACATGAAAATTGGATGGATAGGTATGGTGGCTGTGAGACAACTAGCCAAGAATCGCAGCGCAGTACGACGATCAAATGAGACAGCGGTGAACTCAAGGAATAAGGGTAATCTTCGATTTTATGAGCCCGCATTGCGCTGAGGGAAAATGAGTTCTGAGGCTTTGTAGCAGGGAGATTGCCTTTGCTCCACAAAGAGCGTTTTGCAGGCATGTAGGAGGTTGTTGATTCGAATTCCAAGGGTTTCGAGTGGCTATGCGGTTCCTTACGTGGGAGAAGGGTTGGTGGAAAAAAGAAGCTGAACAGCGTTTCCTAATGTGGGACTTGCGTCATTTATCCCTATTATTCCCACGCATCGCTCTGACCTACAACTACAAAATGAAGTTCTAGGTAAACTTAAAGGCACAGTTCAGGGTAATGTGAGGTATGTTCTTTATGTCGAGAATGAAAGGGTAGTTGAGAGTAGTGCATCAGGGACGAGAAAGAGATAATCCTGCAGAATCAGCAAATATTCGTGGAAAATCTTAAATTCTGAGGTGGTATGATGACTACGAAAAGGTTGTTTAGACGAGATTTCAGCCCTTGACATTTGTGTAAGTAGAAGGCTGCAGTTTCCTTGCAGCTGAAATCCACTAATCTCAGTATCACATAGATCAGGCCCCCACTGGATGATTAACTGTTTGGATTTTTGAAATATGCGCTCTATTATGAATGCCAAACGACTGAAAACACGGCCACTTCGGGGCATGGCATGCTACTCAGTCTTTCTTTGAGCTGTACTACGCCCCGCCCTATCTAGGCTATATTTCGACATGACAGCACCCTTTAAGGCATCCTTGGGGCCTGACATTTTCTACAGTATGAAATTTGAAAACTACCTTTGTCATAGACTCGGCTTGTGCAAAAAAGACCCATCAGGATGGTACTGGGGCTTTCCTTCTTGAGATGACTCTGAGATGGCTACAGTAGAATCATGTTGGTATAAGGATTAACTTGATCTTATCTTCGCCATCGTTGAGGTTTTGCAAGAAGAACTTTACAACAGATGAGAGAGTAGGCAACGAAATGTCACTAAAGCCGTCATATTTTGTATTACTACCGTATCAGAAGAAAACGATTAATAGCGGACGGGAAAAGGTAGCATCGAGAAATTGAAAAGCAAGAAAGTGAAAAAGCGGAGCTAACGTTGGGTTGACGAAAGTTAAAGAATTAAGCATGGGACGTCACAGAAAGAAAGAATTGACATTAGCAGTTAATTCTGTTAATTGAGTTGATGCTTCTGACGAAAGGTTAATCATATGAGAGTCTTAGGGGGTTCCTGCACGAAAACTTCAGGAAGAAATAAGCAGGAAAACAAGGGGGTGAACGTTAGGAATCGTCATCTGCGAATCGCGTTTCACATATTAACTTTGAATATGAATTGTATAAGTATGGCCCTCTCACCAACATTGTACCAATAAGATCGGTAAAATAACTACTAACCCTGAAATCTGCGAAGAACAGTTTTAGTTTTAACATTGTGTGTAACATTATGTCGGAACTGAACGCGCGCGACATGCGGCGCTTTGCCGCGGCGGTAGTTCCGACCCAACTTCACACACGATGATTTACGAAACCAATTTCGGCGAACAATACCAAGATACGCCTAGTCTTTACTATAGCTATGTGTAAAGCCTCCTCAACGTTCCAAAAGCATGATGGAACATTTGGACATCCGGACATGCTATCCGACCACGGTCTTGCAAGCCTAGAGCTTCACAATGCTTAGCTGACTTCAACCAAACTGGTTACACACAAACAAAAAACCACAGGGACGAAAATTTAATACGGGCACTCGTTACCTACAGGACTCACCATGAACCGTGAATTAAAATGCTTCGGACGCAGAATTGTAACAGACGACATGTTCCATTGGCATCTTTCATAGTCCACGACCGGTCGCGGACCCATCTCTCGCGCTAGTTATGGGTACCGCCGTGGACGGTCCCGCGCGACCGATCGCGCGACTGGTCGCCGGTCGCTCGACTGGTCGCTCGACTGATCGCGCGGGACCGTCCACGGCGGCACCCATAACTAGCGCGGCCTCCTCGACCGATCGAGCGACCAGTGGCGCGACCAGTGGCGCGATCAGTCGAGCGACCAGTCGCGCGACCGGTCGCCGGTCGCTCGTGAATTGGGTCCGCGACCGGTCGCGGACTATGAAAGATGCCATTCTACGACCAAACCTTATTTCAATACACATCTTTATCCCGTCACATAAATATCCATGAGTGCCTATAGACAGGTTGCCGTAAGTTGTGGAAAAAGGAGAGCGAAACGGTCTACTTTGGAGACGATTTCTATGGGTATTGATCGCACCTGAATATTAGAAAAGCTTGTAGTCGTCAATCGGTCAAATTTGAAAGTCCAGAGACAATTACTAAAAGCGAGAAAGTTAAGTATTTGGGTAGGTGCCAGTTTGTTCGTAAGCAACAAATGCCGAGTAAAAGATGCCTCTACTTGAAGTTTTTAAAAAGATAATAAAAAAATAAAGTCATAGAAGAGGTGTGTTTAAAACTGGCCAAAAAGAGAAATGGAGTAAAAAGAATAGTAACGATGGAGACGATTATCGAGTAGGTCACATAGGAGTCCGCCTCATCCCCTGGAGGGTCATAGAGGCTGATTTCTGATGATACCCCTATAAACAGAGCGGGCAGCACCATGTCTATCATTGCAGAGAGAGAGTTGGCTTATGTACCTACACAGTAGCTGATCAAATATATATTTATGTATACAGGGCAGATATCAATGCCCTTCCCCGTATGGTGCTGTGCGATCGTGCCCAGTGAGAGGACTGAGAACATTTGGAAAAAAATGATTGGAGTGCCTGAAGAATGATGTTATACCAACATCATACCGACAAATTCGTCTATGATCCTATGATTGCCAAGGCTCGGAACAGTCATGGCAATCTGTGCCGCTGCCCATATGTATGGCTCGAGGATCAAATGGGAATCGATACCAGCCTTGGTTAACTAAGTCCTCCCTTGTTCTCCAGAATTCCACTACTTGTACCTGGCTCAGGTAATAAGATGAAAGGACCGCCTGGCAGACCTACTGGCCCCACAGAACGATGCATTGGCCAACAAAGCATTCGACGCTACCACGCTTTCAAATGGAATTCGAAGGCGTGGGCTCATTTCGAACTAGAACCGGAATTTTGTACCTTTAATAGCCGTTGATGGAAGGCCTAATGGGACCGTTCAAACCTTTCCGGAGACTAAACAATTGGAATCAGGTGCTGTAATCACATCAACAGACTAGACATCAAGTCCCCTTCGAGCAATCGAAGCATTTCATTTCCCAACGCCTATCAATTGGGCTTCATCTAGAAATTCTAAGTAAACAAAAAGGCTATAAGCTTTTATGAACGTGCCACACACTGCTTGCACGCGTCCATTACTTATTATTACTTCACGTTCCCGATTCACGGTATCATCTGTATAAAAAGGAATTCTGAATGACATACCAATAAAACGACAAGGAAGTAGACAGGATTGGATGGACGCAATAAAGCGACTGTGTAAACAGCACTCGAGGCTGAAGAAACTTCAACTATATTTCGGTTACACATCCTCATCGTTGTCCTTGTTGCCAGTTCAGCTATCTTTAATTTCTACACAATCTAAATTACTACAAATAATCACTATTATATTGACCGCATCCGGCTGTCAACACATCACGCATTTTCGCATTATACGTATGTCTTTTATTCTATGTAAGTGAGCCAACAGAGAAATCTTATTCAAATTTGTAAAGAATTCGAAAAGAAAAGAAGAAATGAATAAGAACACCGAAATTAATCAACGCTATAACAAGTCTTATAAACAACAGTTAACAAATGAACTTCAGAGTATCCCATGAAATAACGGTATGGAACATGAACAATGTATACGAGAAATGATGGTTAAGGTTCTAATAACGCTCTAATGTATAACAAACTTCTAAAAGCAATTGATTGAGATTGATTCACCCGATTAATAATGGAACAGTAAACAACAGTTACGATAAGTGTAAGTGAAATACTGCCATTATGATGATATTAATGCCACAAAGTAGATCATGGGTTAGCTAACTGTAGCGAGACAACTTGACCTCGGAGTTTTCGACCCGCAAGAACTGAGACGGCTTTTTTTGACGACTGAAAATAGTGATGGAAAATGACGGTAAAAATTGGTAAAACTATAAAAGGACGATGAAAGTGTAGAAGGAGGATCTCTTGTGCCTAACTTCAAGCGTTAGGGCCCAGAAAAGGTGGGGTAACCAACTTCACCTGTGCTTAGAGACGTTCTTAGCCAAGGGAATATAGTTTTCTAACATAAGTTTTAAAGAGGAGAGGAGCATCTGGCTGGTTGAGATGATTATCATGCACAGAAAACTGGGATGCTTTAAGAATTGGTCATTAAATTGACTCACCCACCCCACTGCTTGTTCCCTCTTTATAAGACAGGCTGAAAAAAATCCTCTAAATCCCTAACTGAAAAACGTTTCTAGGCGCCATGACAGACTAGCGCTTCAGCGCTTACTGTTAGAGATGACAAAAAGAAGAAAAAAAAAGAACGACGTACATCGGAAGGACTCCTTCGTAACACAAAAATCCACAAAAAAAATCGGTAATATTCTCACCTCTGGACTCGACATGGCGAGCATACACTCTCCAGTGGGTATGCCATCGTCTCCCATACGTATTCGAACTGAGTTATGATCAACAGGGTAGCCTTTGAAAAAGCCCAGCACATCTTCCATTGTGACATCAGAAGGGAACCCACAACACGATACAACTGTTCCTTTTGGGCCCAATGAAGCGACAAGATCATCAGTAGCTGCCGCAGGCTGAAACAATGTGACAGTGAGAGTGTGAGATTGCTGTTATCATTGAATACAGGGCTGGCTGCGGCTAAAATATGAAACCTCAATGCAAAGTAAATTCTCGAAAAGCTTGATTTGAGTCACACGCAACACCACTGCTAAGGCGCAAAAGAGTAGAAAAAATAAGGAACAAACTGTACCACAATATATTACCTCAGGTTCTGGGCTCTTAGGCGGCTCGAACCTCTGATTTTCATCATGACCTTCCGTACTCTCATGACTGGAATTCATGTTAGGCTTATCGCTGTGACCACCACGCATCCCACCACGTCCACCTTAAACAAAAAATGTAACATAAGATACAGTGAAGATGAAATAAGTATAGGCGCAGCATTATGATCAACCAATCAAAGAACAAAGTCGAGGAAGAAGTCAATTAGAAAAAGGCAAATCGTAAAACGGGGACAAAATTTTCGACGACAAAGTAACTCCAAAAGAAATTTTCAGAAGGTTGCGTTTCTACTAGTAACATCGGCTACATATCTTAAAAGCCAAGCACCATGGGGATAGCGGTTAGCATAGTTGCTTCTACTACTCCAAGCTTAGCAGGTATTCCTAACACGCACTACTGGGCCGTTATGTTATAGTAAATTAAGTTTTGAGTGTATTAAAAAGATCTTTGCTACAATTTCAATTGATTAGGCCACTGCCGATGGAAAATTTTGTCAGAGAATGGCCACCAAAAAAAAAGAAAAAAAAGTAAAACCACAACGTGGAAACCTACCAAGGGATCCACGTCCACGGCCTCTGGGCCCATCACGAGGGAACGATGAAGGAGGGAAGCCTCGCCCCATACCTCGTCCTCGTCCTGCATGACCTGCTTATGATATTATTATGTATAAGGACAAGTGTGTTTTCTAAGTAGCAAGACCTGTCACAAAAGCAACAAGGCGCAAAATGCATAAAAACGATAGGCAAAATTACCTGCAGCTCCTGGGTAACCACCGGGGCCAAACGCTGACACGCCACGCGCTGTAACAACGCTTTTAGCTACAAGTGTGTATAAAATACTGCAAACCAATGAACAGGGAAATTTTCACAAAAAAAGCGACAAACCTGGAACAGGGAAAAACGACACAGGTGCAGCACGGTCAGGTCCGTGTCCAAAACCAGGAACGTCGCGCATGAGCTAAAACAAAAAGTGACATCACATCTGTACAACCATACAAATAACTTTGAATATTACTGGTTTTATATCTCGATGCTCTGCATTGGCCGCCTTTTCACTACTCTCCTTTCGTCGTTCACCGTATACATCTTCAATCTTCAGCAATTCATCAGCTTGCTCATTTTCAATATGACACATCCTCAAGAAGAACGTATCATTTCAGAGTGTAGCGATCGGTTTAAAGAAAACAAGGTCAGTAAGTCACACAATTAGATAGAGTGTGGCTTCGAAAAAAATCGTTCTTCCTTCGGAATTACAGCTTCATATAAAGTTCATAGGAATCGCTCACTTTACTGTACGGCCTATCAAAAGTCGTTTGATTCCCATAGCCCGCTCCATCAAAGACTCGCTTTCGAACTCTGCAATCCAACGATCGGAAGCATTTCCATCAGCATAGAACGTTCGAGTTACTTTGGTTGGCCTTACTCTCTCCGACATCCACCTGAAAGCCGAAGTTAGTCAGACAGAAACAAAAAAAATCCGTTCGACGATGCAACTGCCAAGAAGTGATAATAAGCAATCGACCTTGAATAGTGTAATCAAACCAGAAAGTTGGCTTTAAATGTTATAGGCGTAATAAAAATTTATTCAACAAAAACAAGAATAGAAATGTAAAAAGAATCAGCGAAAGCGAAAGCCGACTAACTCGATGAGCTCCTGTTCTGTGCATCGGAAAGGGACGTTTGTTAACTGTAGACACCATCGTGTTGAGCCAGTCGTCTGCCGCGACCGCTTCGGAGCTGAACGGCTTCGAGAGTGACGAGCTGACCGTCGATCGCGACTTCGTGTACGAGATCTTCAAACGTGCAGGCATAATACTGATAACCCTTGTGAATTGAAAATATTGTAATGTGGTACCTCTGTCTCTTGCGCGGTGACGAATCACGTTTGCCGCGGCGCCTGTCACGACTTCTTGATCGCGAGCGACGCCGCGAGTGCTCTGAATCGCGCTTGTGATCAGCATTCTCAGCAGGCGCTTCCGTAGCCTAAACATAATAAATCATTATTTTATGAAAGAGATAAACAACTCACTAACCATAGAACTTGCGCTAAGAATTGCTGGAGGAAGTCCATCTACTGCATCCTCAAATATAGTTTTTGTCGAAGGCCGTACACTAAAGATAGCGGTAATGTCAGAATATTCATGCTCTTACTGTGGCAATAGTAAAAGAAAAATAACTCTGGGTACCAAACACTTACCGTATGCCCAACTCTCCATCCCTTGCAAGCACAGCATCAGCATCAGCTGGGTTATCAAATCTTACAAGTGTGTTCATATGTATTCCTTGAAAATTAGATCTCATTAGTAGCAACGTTAAAAAGGCTCCTGAACATAAATTCTTCTTACCTTGACTACTGTAAACCACCTTCACAGAAGAAACCTGCAAAGGCACAGATGGCCTAAGAAACTGTTCTAAGACAGCCGGGCGAAGCATCTCTGTAGGAAGGCGACTCAATTCGACATATTTTGCCACACTGAAAAAAATAATTTAATTTAAAGAAAACACGAAGAGATCCACTGAAGACATGTACTCACGTTGGAGCAGCTCTGGCTACACTGGATCCGTTCCCGAAATTTGGTCCTAGCAAAGGAGTTCTTGTCATCGGTGGCTGGGGCTGCCTCATTGATTGAGATGGTGGAATCGGTGGACGGCCACCTGATGGCACTAGCGGCGGTATTCCCGACTTCTGAATCAGTGATATCTAAAGGTGAGCACGTGCCGCAACCGATTTGAACCAACTAAAAACACAAACACCGCAATCGAGGCACCAGAAAAACTTACTTCACTGTTATAGGGAGCAGGAGTCTTGCTTATCAAAGGTTTACGCATCGGTGGGCCGCTTTTAGGACCGGGTCTGAAGTATAAATTGGTTATTCTCATGATCACCGCTGAATTCTATAAAGTCTCAGAGTTACGATGAGTTCCCCTCGATTAAGACGTTCAAATTACGGCAAGTCAACCTACTTCTGCATATGGTTCGACTGCCAGGGCGGTGCATTTCCGCCATAGGAGGGTCCGTTATCGTCGCTCCATGAACTGTGCAGACGACCAGAATCAGATTGTTTGTTGTGATGAGATGGAGGCCCAGAAGAACCACCACCATTGACAGGGGGACCGTCCTGACGATTGATCGCAGGGAACAAAGCTCGTGGACCTCCAGAAGGCCTAAAATAGATCTCAAAATCATGTCTTTATTTAGCGACCAACTTTGCATTTTTTGTCTCATTCTTCAGGCTTTTCGTGCAGAACTATACTGAAACTCACCTTCGATCATCTTGCTGCAACGCAACTGGACCATTATATCGCTCCTGTGAATAAACTGACGTATCACCACTCTCTTCCATAGATCGGTTGGACTGCACCGGCCCCGGCGGCCCGCGAGGATGTGCGGGTGGTCCACCATATGAAGATCTAGGAGGCCCATAGCCGCCATCATTACCAATTGGCCTTTGATCTTCTCTAGGTGACTGATTTGGAATGCCACGAGGCGGCATAGTCATTCCAGGTGGCATTGGGCGGTTCACGTTGGGGTTCCGCGGAGGTGCGCTGAAGAACCTAGGTCCGGTGTCTGGTAAACGTTGCTCCGGCTGGCTGCTGTGGTACGGAGGTCTGTGAGGCACATCAGGAGGGTAACGCTTCGGTTCAGCCGGAGGATACTTCCTGTCATACATTTCTTCCCTTGGTAGCATTGTAGCACGGCTATTTTGTTGAGTTTGTTGTACAGGTGGGTAACCATTATCCATTGGTCCAGTTGGATAACCCCGATTATTACCACGGTAATCGCCATTATGCGGGTTTTCGGGAGCGGAATGGGTGGATGGAGGGTAACGTTGATGCTGTTCTGGATGGTGCAGTGGCTGGTGTTGCTGCTGGAGTGGTTGCTGTGGCTCCGACTGCTGGTACTGCTGCTGTTGCTGAATGTGTTGTTGTTGTGGAGGGCCACGCATATACAGCGGCTTATTGAATTCAGATGGATCAGGTGCAAATGATGATGGTTTTATCGGGTGTTCAGGCGCAGGAGGTGAAGCATATTGTGGTTGAGCTGGAGACGTGGTCGCTTGCCAGTTCTGGACTGGTTCTGGAATGGGTTGTGCTGAGAAAAATGCTTTTTTTTTTATTAAAAGTGCTCTTTGAAAATTAAACATTAGCTTCCAAACAAACCTTGATGAACTGGTGATTGATCAGGTACTTTTGGTGATGGTACGCGAAGACCTAGCACGGCCGCTTTGGCACGAGTGATTACATCATTCATCTCAGCACGTGAAGACAAAAACAGTCGCACCTTGATAGAGCCCGGTTATTACTCGGTTTCATTGTTGTTTGAATTCAAAATTATTTTTTATGCACTCGTTCAACCTCCCTTCACCTAAAATCAAGTTTATTAATTTTTTTTCACAATTCAAATGTGCGAATCTTACTCCCAGGGCTCGCTTCTCAATAGCAATCATCAATCCATATAGTCAACAACTGGTTCTTTCATGGGGCAGTTCTTTCACGAATTTTTGAACCTGCTCCTTCAATCAAGCCGTAACGCCTCCGTTTCTTGATGACGATGCTTCTCCCCGCTTCCCCAAGTTCGCTTTGCGGCATACGGCAAATCTTTTTTAGTTGTCTCGCGCCTCTAAACTGCTATTACCGTACTCAGCCCGCCTCTTTACGAATCGATAGGACTCAAGATTTTTCATTGACTGTCTTTCTTTTGTAATTAGTTTTAATTGTTCTTTTCTGTTCCTTTCTATTTTTTTATGTTGATTAGGCTTGACTGTTTGAATAACTCACCCCCCCCCCCCCCCCCATATTATCGATGATCAAGACCGCATTGAACTGAAGGGAGCGGTTAACAAATCCAAACAACTGGAGGACTCCCCAACTCACAAATTGCGCGCCCAATCTTCCATCGCATTTCTGTGACACGCGGCAGGTGCGGCACGTACGATGCAGTGTCCGGGGAGGAGATATCGCACCACTTTTCCTCTTTACTGGGTGCTTTCATTGTTCAACGACGTGCATTATTTCAACCGACAGCCAACTGACCGACCACTGCATTGCTGACCATGCGTTGACAACGTAAAACAGGTTGTGATCAGGCACACGTGCGTAATACCGACAGGTGTCCACCTTTGTCAACTCGTGGCCAGCAACGCGTCCGGCCGGTCGGTCGTTGGTTGGAGCAAAGCACACCGTTGAACACAGAAAGCACCCGTTCATGTGTCTCTGTTTTTTTCCATTTCGCTTTCGTTTTACACTGCTGTTTGCTACTCTCCTCCAAATGGCTTTGTTCACTGAGTAAATAGCTGAAACATTTGCTTAGCTATTCTCTCAGAATGAACAATCTAACATTCATTCTGAGGTGCTAAGTGGGTTGGGAGGGGGACCACGCGGCGCGGCACCCTGCGCTCTCTCCAGCGAGATAGTAGAGAAGGAAGAAAAGTCGAGCCCGAAACGGTGTTTAGGGACGTTTCATAGCTTTTTATGTTGTAACTGTGTATTTTTCACCTAATTTCAGGAAGGAGGGGGGGGGGGGGGG